GCGATTGCAACTTGATATCAGCCCAAGTCCCCAGTTGCTGTGGCTGTCTAATGTATGATTGATTAACACCGTCACACTTCGGAAATGACGCATGGCCAGTTCTGTTACCGAACATCTCATGTGTTTACTTCATTTGCCCCACACTTATAATTAGTTGTTTCCAAAGACATGGTCGTAGAGAATTTCAACAGCAAAACCCAAATCATGTGTTGCAGAGCTACCATCAGATCCAATCCCAATTCTGGCAGTGTGATTGGGAATTGGTTGGATCATTGGGTCCCCAATTCTTCCAAGCAAATATTTCCTTAAATCCAAACCACGGTCTCCTGGCTCCCTTCAACTCGTCAGCTTGAACCAGTGATCAACTGGGACAAGTTCAACAAGTTCCCAATATTCCTCTCCTTCAGCCGCTTCAGCCTCACCAGGAGCTGTCACAAACCCACCCATTGGATCTCAGAGCGCCTTTGTTCACCTCTTTGAGTGGCCTGGAGCCTCGATCAGCCGGCTTCGATTTTCACCAGCTCCATGGATCCGGGAAAATCGACCGGACCTAAAATTACCTAAATATGGAGAAATAAATATGGTCCACTCTCTCCAGCCAATATTCTGGTCCACTTTTTGTTGGCCCGGTTTCAAGCTTAAGAAACACAGCACTTGGGGGAATGGACTTAGTAACCCTGGGTACTGGGTAACTAGGTCGAAGAAGTCCACGTTTTCTGGCATGTTCATGTATATTATTCATTGTTATTCCTCTTATGACCGGGGAAACGAAGCCCACGTTTTTGTTCACACCTTTTTGCACCAAGCAGGAATTGCCTTGTTTGCAGAGGTCCTGGACAGACATTGCCCAAGAATGCGAAGAATTTCTGGGCCCCAAGGCGGGGGGAGCCTTAGAAAAGGCCTTTGGACACAGATTTGAACTATTTGGAATTTATGTTTTGTCCTGATTTCCATAGGGTTTATACTGTTTATATAACGTGTGTATATATATATAACGTCATCATTCTATTTTGGGGCACCTTCTATTCTTGCCGCCTTTGGCACTACTATGGCACTACTATATAAGGCCGGGCCGTGACAGTGACGCTTACTGTACTTCTTGGCCATGGCTAACCGCCATCAACATGGCTGTGAAACTTTCATCGTGGAGGTCTTCGATGGTGCCCCGGAGCAAAGAAATTGGCGCCGGATCATCGGCAGAGATGGTTGAATCACTGAAAACTAGCCGCGAATTGATGAACGGTACACTTGGCAGGAGAGCATTTTGGTTAAGTTTCTGCGCAAGCTTGCAGTCAATCTTTCACCACCCAGTTTGTGTGTCGTCCAACTGGGAGCTACATGATGTGTCTTTTCTCCTGTCCAGCTTTTCTTTTGTGGTTCAAAGATCCTGATCGTTGCGTATTGGTGAAGTCTCGTGGGTGCCGGGATGCAGCATCAGATCGTGGCCAAATGAATGCTCCAATGGTGACCGCAACAATGGCATCAGATCTGATACTTTGATTGCTACAGTATGGATGCATTTCATTTGTTAAGTGAGTTTCAGTTTTATTGATCAAGCCATCCTTCAAAATAGGCGTAGGGGGTCAACTGTATACCGTATACCCGATAAGAAACCCCACTTGTTTATGGTTTATTAATGTTTACTAAATGTATACTAAATGTGAACTCTGGATTAATAAACACTGGCTGATTTTTTGCGGGGTTACCCCCAAACGGCGATGATTTTCTACTTAAATGCCAACCCCCTAATTGATCTAATTGATGAGCCTATGTTGTTTAATTATCCGGGGTTGACATGATTGGATTTACTGGGTTTACATAATTTCCAGCCACCAGCAGCACAGGGCTTTCGTGCAGTGCAAGTGTCCCCTCCTTCAGAACATGCCCAAGGGTTGCCCCTTGGCTGAGTCCAAAGCGGGCGCTGGAAACACCAGTTGCAGTGCAGGATGCATCGTTCTTTGTTTATCTTTTTTTGGGTTCCTCACGGTTTGTCCACAGACCCTGACCCAGAAGCGTTAACCGATGAACATTTCAACGTTTGGGTTACTTGATGTTGGTTTTCAAATCAGGAGTGTGGCTCCGGTTGCTCAAGCCTACAGTAGTTATTTCCTCTGTTCTTACAGCTGCAGAAGCTCAAGCTACCCAGTTGAAAATAATGTGTGGCCATTTGGCCCAAAGTTGAGGTTAATAGTCCTCAAAGAACTCTTGCTCGGAAAGCAATCGGCTGAATTGCTGGCTTCATACATCCTACACAATCTACATGAAATCACATGATCACATACAATCAAATATATATATATAGATAATAGAGACATAGCATCCGAAAGCTTTGTCCCAGTTGCGTTGGCAGTTTGAGGAAGATCCGCATCATTGGTGATATCAATTCACAAGTGAGGCCATATCGTGCACATCCAGGATTCCATCACCGTGTTGCGATGATCGAAATCGAACCAACTGGCAATGAATAATGGCTCAGAACCCTTGAAATCGAATGGTGTATAGATGTTCTGCATTTTAATTTTAGATCCAAACATCGAGAGAGAGAGAGATATATATATAATTATATATATATGTATGTTATATATATAAACATACTTTATTTGTTTATTGCTTCACGCACCCCGCTTTGGATATGCTGAACTGCTCCCAGATGGCCCAGGCCCTGGTTTGTTCGCTATCAGCCGGTGACCTACAACTTGTGCCTCAGTTCACATGTACAGCTCGTCACTCAACCCCACCTGGGCCCCACCTGCAAGCTGGGGGTCTCTCCGCCTGATCACTATGCTGACTATGCTGCTCGATTTTCCATAATTTAACATATAGCTATTATGGAAAACGGCCCATATTTATACATGAATTCCCTTTGCAAATGGTGATGTTCCATTCGCAGACTTAGTCATTACGGTCACTGGATTGGTTTTCTAGGGAAAGTCGACCCTGGAAACCATGGTTTCATCACGTTTCATCACGTTTCATCCATGACATGTTGGATAATTCTTCTTCATTTGTTCATTTGTTTTTCCTTGAAACCAATCCGATGAACTCCGGGAACATCTCTCGCTCTACTTTACCCCGAGGACGAGCCGTTCGGGCAATGAGGAGGCAATCCGTACGTCGGGAGAAGGTTCTGCCTGAAGGGTTCTTCCCCTAACCATCCCTAACCGACCTCCGTTGAAGTCATAAGGGATCGACTTTGAATTGATATCAATCTATACTTTCAATTGATTTTCCTTTTAAACGTAGAAGAAATCTCAAGATTCGAAAGAATTTCAATTGATATCAATCTATAGTTTCAATTGATTTTCCTTTTAAACCTAGAAGAAATCTCAATATTCGAAAGCATTTCAATTGATTTAATATACTATCAATTGATTTTCCTTTTAAACCTAGAAGAAATCTCAAGATTCGAAAGAATTTCAATTGATATCAATATATTTTCAATTGATTTTTTTTAAACCTAGAAGAAATCTCAAGATTCGAAAGAATTTCAATTGATATCAATCTATTTTCAATTGATTTTCCTTTTAAACCTGGAAGAAATTTCAAGATCCATAAGGATTTCCAATTGATATCAATTGATTTTCCCTTTGCACCTAGACGAAATCTGAAAATTAGTAAGGATTTCAATTGATATCAATCTACTTTGAATTGAATCTCCTTTTACTGCAAACCAAAAAGAAATCTAAAGGGGCCAAGGGGGTTGATTAATTAGGGGGAACTCTGCCTATTATTTGGGTGAGACATGCGCTTATGCGGGGTACCCTTTCGAAGCTTCTCAAAGTGATGGTTTTTAAATGGATTTTAATAAAGAAATTGACCATGTGGGAAACCTTTTTTTTAATTAGCCAAGAATTTGGTTTGAACCAAGACTGCAAGACTGAGCATGTGATTGCAAAGTCACAGCCTGTGACTGCAAAGTCTCAAAAAGGCTGGTGCCAATGCAACAAAATAGTTTAACTACTCAGCTCGTACGATTGTAGTTTGTGTTGAGCCAACAGAACCTTATGCGGGAATCTCTGTCAGAGGTTTGCCAGAGTCAAAGCTCTGTGTGAGACTTGAAAGGAGTGGTGTTCAAAGCATGTGACTGCATGTGACAAACTCCCAAACAAAGTATTTCCTGCGTGGTAGTGGTGGCCGATTGATGGGGTGATTCTCCCCCCCGGTTGATTAGTCAAAGGGGATCAACCCATTTTTGTATTGCCAAAACACTTTTGCCGTGTGGTGGTTGGTTGACCCCTAGTAGATTTTTCATCCTAACTTGACATTATACGGATTATAACAATTATATTGATATGTTATACTACAGATGTTGGCAATTGTTTGTGCAAGTATATATTGTTGCAATGTGTCAGAATGATAGCCGTATAAATCTATGCATAATGTCCATATGTGGTTTTATAGATATACTTATTTACATGATTAACATGTGTGTTTCACTTATGGTACAAATAATTAATGCTCATAATATGGATGTTTTCAGAACCCAGTCAGAAAGCATTTGACTTTATTAAGAAATGTGATCCCATTGTTACATTGCAATGAAACCATTGTTAATTTAAACGGGTACGCGGAAATTACATGATTTGTCTCCACATGGATGTCTATTATTGCTATTGGGTGTGCTTTAAATGTTGCACTATTTTGCCCTATGGCATGAATGACAGGAGCAAAGAATGCAAGGATAAATGGCCAACGGCACAATACATCAGCTGGCCAACAATATAGGAGAGTATACTGTTTAACAACATTTACCATATTGTAATTTAACGTAGCAATGGAAGATGTCTCATTTATAGACAGTTTACCTATTTATCATTGTGATTTTCCACAGCAAACTATTCCATTTCCTATTTGCGTGTTTTACCACATTTGAATAAGCCGTATGTGCTGACATGTAGATGTGTGAAATAATGCGGCAAATTAACCACATTTCATCACATTTCTTCACCCAAGATCTTTCTGAGATGTTCTCCCAATATACAGCGCAGGAGTTCAAGGACATGGTGACGCGCTGCAAAAAGGTCAACGTGGACATTTACGTTGATGCGGTGATCAACCATGTTGGTGGAGGATCGGGAAAACTGCAGTTTCCTTGGTGTTGGGTGGATGGCTCTTAACAGTTTTGGCCGTGGGATTACAAATCCTGCGACTAGCTGGTTATATATATATATAAATCAGCCAGTTATAACTGTTAAAGGCTGTTATTACAACTGTAGGGCCACGTAGGGGAAATGTTTTTGTTTGGTGCAAGACTAGGGCCGTAATTCAGGGTCCGCATGACATCAGTGGGTTCTTGGTCGCGTTTTTTGCAGCCTGATCATATTTTCTGCAGTTTTGGCCCTTTACCAGTTTCAAGTCAGTGAAATAGCACCATTTATGGAATGACAACCCATGTATAACCATAAGAACAGCTGGTGGGTTTTGACTGCAGTGAACCGACCTGCTGGCTACACAATGTCATGCGTCATTGTCTTCAACAGCCGCAGTTCATGGATTCGTTGGCCGAATTGGTCCGCTTCAATGGACAAGCAAACTTGGAGCTTCAACGGTATGGTTTTGTAGTGAGCCCATTTGGGTTTCAACTTGAGGCGCTATAAACCTTAGGATAAACTAAGATCGATGTGGAAAAGCCTTTGTTTCCCTAGGAAACAACTATCCACATCCTTAGTTTACAGCAGGGCAATAAATCAAGCGGACCTTTCATTTCTCAGCTCGACCCTGAGAATCAACCATGTCTTCAGGGAAAAAACGGTCCTCCAACGCCTGAACCAAAAATGCTAGTCTCGATAGTATAGTTTGGAAATATATGACATACATACATTTATATACATTTATATATAATGTATATATATATAATTATACGGCAAATGCCTGGGTTTTGCCCGGACCCGCGATGACGACGGGCGACGCATCATCATCATCATCATCATCACCATCATCATCATCATCTTCATCATCATCATCATCGCCATCGTCATCGTCATCATCATCATCAACATCAACATCATCATGATCATCAACATAATCATCATCATCAACATCATCAAACCCTTATTGACAGTCTTCAATGAATGTAGAAGTTTAAAGGGGGTGGGAGAATTAAACCCTTATTGGAGATTTTCAATGAATGTCGAAGTTTAACGGGGGTGGGAGAATTAAACCCTTACAGAAGATCTTCAATGAATGTAGAAGTTTACTGGGGGTGGGAGAATTAAACCCTTATTGAAGATCTTCAATGAATGTAGAAGTTTAAAGGGGGTGGGAGAATTAAACCCTTATTGGAGATCTTCAATGAATGTAGAAGTTTAACGGGGGAGAATTAAACCCTTATCGAAGATCTTCAATGAATGTAGAAGTTGACCAGGGGTGGGAGAATTAAACCCTTATTGAAGATCTTCAATGAATGTAGAAGTTTAAAGGGGGTGGGAGAATTAAACCCTTATTGGAGATCTTCAATGAATGTAGAAGTTTAACGGGGGTGGGAGAATTAAACCCTTCTTGAAGATCTTCAATGAATATAATGAATGTAGAAGTTTAATGGGGGTGGGAGTTTAATATTCCCTAATATATTTGTTGATCTTCCGATCTTCCCAATTGAATGTAAAGTTTAACGGGGGTGGGAGTTTAATATTCCCTAATACCGTTTTTGTTTTTTCCCATAGGAATTTTGGGTGCTTTGACATTTTTTTTTAAATAGTCCCTAGTACCTTTGTTGTTTTCCCCATAGGAATTTAAGGTTTAACGGGGGTGGGAGTTTAATATTCCCTAATATGCTTGTTGATCTTCCTACTTGAATGTTAAGTTTCACGATTTCAGAGTTTAAAATTTCCTAGTACCTTTGTTGTTTTCCCATAGGAATTTCAAATGTTATGCCGTTTTTGTTTTTCTCATAGGAATTTCGGGTGTTTTGACCTTGTTTGTTTAATAGTCCCTAGTACCTTTGTTATTTTTCCCATAGAAATTACGGTAATTTACAACATCATTTGTTTGTGAATGGGAAACCTCTACGCTGCAACGCCTGGGCAAAGCTCAGGCGTTGCGCGATATTACACATATATATATCTATATTTGTATACATTTAGTTTTTATGATATGATATTCATAGCCCCTGACAAGTTGTGTTTTGTTAAGGGGAACTTTTTCCGAGTTTGCCTGGTGTGATCCTCGGATTCTCGGATTTTCGGAGGAAGTGGAGTGGGGATCGCTGGAAGTCCGTACGGCCATCGCACCACTGCGGCCTGGAGCAGGGCGTTCGGCCTGGAGAGGGGAGCGAGCTCTGGATGATTGATGAATTCATCATGGGCTATTCGGTTATTCATTGACTATTCATGGATTACTGATTACTGGTGAATTCCCATTATTTTGGTATTGCTCAAATTTATGTGTTTTTTACTCTCTGGTAATCAAGGGTAATGTGTAGAGCGAGTCAAAGGGGGCTTCAAACGTCCATGTTTGTCTCGATGGAAGGGAGGTTCTACTTGCAAAACGGCTTCTCAAATAGAAGCAGGCTTGTGGTTTGATAAGATTGCGTTATTTGTATAAGATACATTGGGACATGGTGTGGAAGGCTGTTTTGGTACACCTCGTCGGTCCAATTTCCAGGGCTAAACTCATGGCATCATTTCAATTTCACATGAGACCCGGTCCCGGAAACGCACCCTTATGTACTCATATTCCAACCATCTACAGTGTGCGCGCTCATAGTATGTATGTTCCAGGTTCTAAGTTATATTCTCTTACTTTATCGGCGGATGTGATTGTATCATACTATATTTTCTATAACGCACGAACACATATCATATAATATAATATATTAATATACCAGTAGTACCGCACAAGGCGGTGGCGGAAGTTTCAAAAATAGGAAACCTATAGGAGAAGTTGGTTGTTGTGAATCAGGGATGGCAGAGCGAAGCCACTGATTGACCGAAAGGTGGTTGGAGTTGTGTTTGCTGGAATGGTTGCAATGGTTGCAGTGGTCACCTCACCCACAACTGCTGGATGTAGTGTGATGTACTGCAACTGTAGTTGTAGTTGTAGCGTAGTGGAGTTGTAGTTGTGGTGTAATGTAATTAGTGTAGTGTAGTTGCAGTCATATGGTTGTAGCTGTAGTTGTTTTGTAGTTGTAGTTGTAGTTGTTGTAGTTGTAGTTGTTGTGTGGTTGTAGTTGTGTAGTGTAGTTGTAGTAGTAGTAGTAGCAGTAGTAGTAGTAGTTGTTGTTGTTGCTGTTG